AATATACTTTAAAAGAATAATTTAATTTAAAATATATATTTTAAGAAACTAATTTGATTAATTTTATAAATTTTAATTATTTTAATTTAATTATTTCTGTGGGAAATTTTTTAAAAAATAGTTAAATTGTTTATTTGTTGGCATAAACCTATAATTTTTTGTATTCAATTTTATTTATTTATTTTTTCCAATTTATCATTTTCATTATTATTTTTTTATTAATTATTTTCATTATCAAATTACTTATATTTTAAAATTTTCCATAACATTATTTTCAATATAAAAAATCTATCACATATTAATAATAATTAGTATAAATATTTTACATGAAGTTTAACACAAATACACAATAATTGATTTTAATCAAATTATATGATTTTTTTATATATAATTAATTTAAAACTATAATAATTGATGAAATTAGTCTTTTTATGATACCGTTATAATTTTCTATATTAATGCGTTATTATTATATAATAATAATTTTAATTTTAATTTTAATTCTACATAATATATTAAATCGTTTGGTGAGAGATTTTAGGAGAAAAAAATGCTCTAAAAGATTTACGTTTTATATACATAAAAGTATTTTTATTTTTTTAACCTAAATTTTGAAGGAAATATGTTTTAAATTAGTATTTTTTATTTTTATAAATTTTTTAAATTAAATTTATTTTTAAATTAATATTTTATATTTTATTCACAAATTAAATTATTTATATTATAAAATTGTCTATAATGTGAATTTTTCAGTCACATATTTACTATTAATACAATTTTTAACATTAATTTTTTTAAAATATTTTAAAAATATACTTTAAGAGAATAATTTGATTTAACAAATATATTTTAAGAAATTAATTTTTTTTGGTAAAGGTTTTTAAGAAATTAATTTAATTAATGTAATAGATTTTGATTAATTTATTTTAGTTGTTTTTGTGTAATTTAAAAAAAAAGCTAATTATTTTATTTATTAACTTAAAATCTATAGTTATTTTTATTTAATTTTTTCATTTATTTTGTCCAATTTATCATTTACATTATAAATTTGTTATTAATTATAGAGGTGAAACTTATAACGTTTTTATTAATTATTATGGTATTAATTATGTTGATATATTTATTTGACTTTAATTATTTTTAATGTCATTTTATTTATACTATAATTTATATATAACTATTGTACTGGGGAAGGCTCTACTATTAAGATTATCCTATTTTAATCAAGGTTAAATGATAAGAGTCCTAACTAGAACATAAAACTTGGATTATTAGGTTGTGGAGCCAAAAGGTCCATCAAGCCTAAGTATGTCACTATAAATATGGTATTGATGGAACATGATAAAGGGGTATAATTATTTAATGTTACAGTGTTTATTGCTCTACAGTGAGTATTGACTTGAGCATTGAGTGTTTTTGCATGTACCTTCCCCTTTTCGGGACAAGGATTCAACAAGTTATCACCTTAATTTGGAAGAAGATCAAGTGTTGGAGGGCATTAATGTAAGAGTGTTTCCTAGCCAGAACAACTATTTATATAAAAAATGTAGAAGGAGATTTTGAGGGAAGGAAGATAGAGATTTAAGATACGTATAATACACACTTAGGCACAAGATAACAAGAGTTGCATAGGAAAAAAGCTTAAGTTATTAGACAATTTTTATTTTTTTATACAAAACAAATTTGTTTACCTTGTCTAGTGGATCATGATTTTTAATGAATCAAATGGACTCTTAAGAGCAACTCTAATGAGAGTTGCTTGTCCCATGAAACAACTAAAGCTCCGGTTTCTTGTCATTGGAGGACCTGACATGACAACATGAGTTGCTTGAAGAAGAGAGAAAGTTGTTTCCTCAAGCAATTGTTCCTTACTAGATTTCAAGCAGATCTTATTGAACATATTTGGGGACGTTTCAAAAATAATAATAATGAAAATTAATTTCATATAATATCTATGTATTTATTATTATTTTATTTTATTTTTAATACATACTCATTATAGTGTAATTATCCTTTTTAATAAAAAATTTAAAATTAGTTCATAAATGATTAGAAAAAAATTCTAAAAGTTAAATTTCTTAAAGTTTCTTACCATTGGAGTAAATTTGTGTTTGTATTGCTTAATACTGATATGACACACTGGGGGACCACTTTTTTTATTTTTCAATGCATGAAACAACTCAAATGAGCTGTAGAAGCAAAATTTTTTCATACCTAGGAATTATAACTTTTTAAAATCATAAATCTTGAAAATTATGACTCCCAAGAATGATTAAATATGCTTGATTAATCATAAATATTATTTGAAATGTTTATAAATATTACTTGAAAATTGTAGGGTTTTACCACATTAACCAAACAAATTGGTGTAAAAAAAGTTAATTAAATTAAGGTAACATAATATTTTTACCACAATAAAACATTTTTTAACTCAATGTTAGATTCATGATAAAAAGCATGATAAAATTTAATTTTAAACTTTACCTGATGTTTGATGCATATCATCAATTTATGATAAATTAAG